GCCACAGCTCTTAGTCCGTCCCTTCGTTTAAGTACACACATACATGTCACAGCTCTTAGTCCGTCCCTTTGTTTAAAGACACACATACATGCGGTTTCTTTGCAACTTGTGCTTTGATGTACTCCTTGATAGCAGTGACGAGAGCGCTACTTACATCTTCTGTAAACAGAGCTCTGAAACAGTCGAGGGACGTTGAGTTATCATTGATGTCAGCATATACATCAGATCACGTTGAGTTATCATCGATGTCAGCATATACACCAGGATCACGCCTGTTATTTGGCTTAAACTCAAAGTCTTTATCTTTACTTGTGGCTGACCTATTTTGCACATCTACCTCAGTCCAATTATTATCTCTGGTTCTGGTAGTGGACGTAGATCTAGGGAGGTGGCTCAGGTCTAGCTGGGGCTCACTTTCGTGGTCTCTTTGTACCACTAGGTCCTGATTGGGGCGATGCCACCCTCTGATCAACTGATTGAGGAGCACTGGGACTGGGTCGCGATGACTGTTCTGAGTGGCTTTCATCACTAGCGTATATTCAAAAGTTAAATTCCAGATAAGAATCACCATCGCTATTACGCCCTCCTTCATCTAACTGACTGAACAGACTCATTCCTTGCTCAACTATAAAACGTTTCGTTTGCTTATTTTCACCCGCCATCTTTGTTTTACAATTGTTATAAACAAACTGTTAGACTTCACAAGAAAACGCTGAAAAAAAAACTACGGTCTCAAACACAACTTGTTGATCTGAAATTAATCAGTTAAAGACACACACACACATACAAGTACCCTCTTTGCCTGTAAAAATTCATACATGCACAAGTACCCTCTCTGCGTTTAAACATACGCATGTACAGATACTGAGTTCTATCTTTGAACAGAAACATTACATCCTTCCGTGTTTGTAAATGCTAATTTAACATCTAACATGGTAGGTCCGAATCTAGCGAAACACCCCCATAGCAAAAATAAAAGTACTCAGCTTATCCGAGGACCCCTTTTATAAGCACTATGATTTTAGCCGCCATCTGAAGGAATTTTTTCCAAACAAAAGAAATCCACCTTTTTAAGAAAGGTTTATTATGTGTCGTTATCTCTAAGAGCCGTTCAATTTTGGAAATATAGAGACGTTTATGACGTCACGAACTTAATTAGAATATTTAAGCATCAGCCAAATAAAATTGGAATTGATCTAACTTTTACTCTACCGCTAATAATATTGTGTTTAATAAAATTTAATTATTTGACACTTATTATAAAAATCTAAGAAATTCCACTTCGTGTACGAAAATGTTAGCCATAGCGTTGAAAATATGAAGTAATAATATAGTTATATTTCAAACCGTAAAATGATTTTCTGTACAATAAACGTTTTAATATTCATTTCATTCATCTACATTGTCTACACAGGAGTTTAATGAGTACCTACATAACTATATTTCGTTAAATATTCATTGTGATCGCGTATTTCCCACCAGGAGGCGCTTTTAATAAAGGGAAATAAAAATGTGTTCTATTATTTTTCACGTCCCCCGTTGGGACAGCGGTAAGTTTACGGACTTACAACGCGAAAATTCGGGATTCGATTCCCCGTGGTGGACATAGCAGATAGCCCAATGTGGCTTTGCTCTAAAATAAACAAATAATTATTTTAATTATCTAATTTAATATTAGCATTAGCATTACATTGTTTCCTTAAATTTTAGTTGTGAGGGCAGATATGTTGTTGTTTTAACGTTAAGCTAACAACCGGCTATCTTCCCTCTGTCTACCACAGGGAATCGAGCCCAATATTTCAATGTAATGTTGAAAAAAAAAATGGGTAAGAAAGGTTTAGTGTGATTGATTTAAACTTTTGTATTTTACACGAGTAACGAAATTTGGTTAAAAACAAATTGAAAAATCAAAAATTGGATATTAATATTAAATGGCGTTAATTGTGACCGTGCAATATTTGGTCAGTATTTGTTTTCTGGCATTATAAATTATTACATCGCCTCCTAGTGGTCATCGTAAGCATTGAATACTCGTACGGGCACCTTTAAACTTAACCTGCCATATTTGTTTTGTCTTTAACTTCTAAGAATACATCAAGATTGAGTCTGGTGAAATTAATGGACTAAATAAATACTTTTGTGACTCAAGCCACATATGTATCTTTCCTCAGCAATAATGCTTGGTTGAACTGAGATTACATAATCACTTACTTTCTCCTGGTGTCCGGCCTCGTGGCGAACTGTTTTATGTTTTTTCGGCATTGAAAATCCTTGTTGTTGCTTTCCTTGTTCTAGATTTGGTCTAAACAGAGAAAAAACAAAACAAAGAAAAACAGAATAAACCCATTAAAAACACTGACCACTTTTAACTGTTGTTCTAAAGAGAGAGAGAGAGAAAAAAAACTATTTTGAAACTTTTTTTTTCAGTCTCGAATTTTCAGTTGCTTTTTCTCAAGGATTCAGTCTTTCCTTGACGTAAATAACCACAGAAGCTAGAAATACACGATTACTATATAAGATTTTTTTATGTTAACTATCTCAACAAAAATTCAAATATTTTATAAATGGTGAGGGTGATATACATAAAGGCTATATTATAAACTTTTCATGATGATGAAGATATACGTCTAGGAGTTGTTATAAACATTTCATGATGACGATGGTATCCATCTAGGTTATATTATAAACATTTTATGATGACGATGTTATACGTCTTGGTTATATTATATACATTTCATGATGATGGTATATATCTAGGTTATATCATAAGCGTTTCTTGATGAGGATGGTATACATCTAGGTTATATTATATAAATTTCATGATGATGATGGTATACATCTAGGTTATATTATAAACATATTATGATGACGATGTTATACGTCTTGGTTATATTATATATATTTCATGATGATGATGGTATACATCTAGGTTATATTATAAAGATTTCCTCATTACGATGGTAGACGTCTAGGTTATAAAATTGTCTTGATGATAATGGCATACATCTATGTTATATTATAAACATTTCCTGATGACGATGGTAGACGTCTAGGTTATAAAATTGTCTTGATAATAATGACATACATCTAACCTATATAAAAGCCAACGTGCGTCACGTCACGCTTGTTTTCTCGAAATAGGAGGAGTCATAAAAGCCAAAATGCATTTATCCAGATAGAATAGTTCGATTACTATCTGCCCATTACGATTTTTGTGACGGGGATGCAAGAGGGCCGTGAGAGGAGAGTGCCGTGAAACCTTATAAGTGTCGTGAGTGTTGGTATAATAAGCCTAAAGTAAAGACGTAGCGTAGGATCACCTAACCGAGAGTCAATTGCATAACATTTATCATGAAAGTAAAAATATCGATTCAATTTTAAACTTAAATCTTTTCTGAATTAAACTATTTTCTGTTATATCACCAACGTTTTTAATAATAAAAATACAAACCTCTTTAACCAACGGAAACTCTAAATTATGAAATCAACAAATGTTTTTCCAGTTTTGTTGTATATATATATCATTCTATACTTTCAGTACATAGACTAACAACAATATTAGGTTATACTTTTGTAACTAAGTACCATGACATAAAAGCCATTGTTGGGACATAGCGTTACCAAAACGCACTGTCTTTTCTATACATCAGAAGTTGTTAATCTAACAGATTTTCGCCAATAATTATTCTATGAATACGCCACAAATTCATTTCATGAATTATCTAAATTTTGATTGGCTGACAAAGGAATTTGCCGACGTTTGACTGCCTCTGTGTTGGTCAAGCTTGATTTCGCAAATATTTATTTATTTCAGTTAACTATGAAATGTGAGGTTAGGGGTGGGGGTGGTAGTACTCGTCCCGTCATTTTTGACGTGCTATACACTACTTTAGATTATAAACATTACATTTTAAGCCTCAAAAAGGCACATAATTTAGTGAACTGATAACACGTGAAATATTTACGTGTATTATATTGTGCACGCAGTTCGGAATTATAGAGTAATGTTTTCAGGTTAAGATAGATGGCGCTGTAACTGAATGTGAAGGATGGATTATGAATACGCTATTAAAATTAAGCTTTTTGACTTATAAACTCGATTATGCCTTTTTTATTGCAAGTTTAAATGTTAGGCACAATGTAAACTGATGCAGATTAAAATTAACATGTACTATTCCATAAAATGTTATCTGAACAAGTAAGTTATGCTTGTGACGTCACCCCCCCCCCCACGAAAGCTCTATGGTAAGTCTGCGGGCTTATAACGCCAAAAATCTGGTTTCGATACTAGCGGTCGGTACAGCTTTGTGTAGTTTTGTGCTTAATAACAAACAAACAAAATTACGGCAGCATCTGGTGGAAAATTTTTATACGTCGGCTGTGATTGGCTAAAACAAAAGTTTTATACGTCGGCTGTGATTGGCTAAAACAAGTTTTATACGTCGGCTGTGATTGGCTAAAACAAATTTATAGATGCTTGAGAGAAAATATTTAATTTATTTTAAAATCATTCAATATATATTTGCCATTCTTTAAAGTTTAAAATATTCAAGAAATTGTGGATAGCAACGAAGATGTATATATATATATATATTTAAACAATACGCGAAAAAGGGATCGATTTCCATTATTCATTATTGAAAATTTTAATATCAATTCTGCTGTAGAAAAAGCCTCCAGCAGGGGGCGGCGCAGCATGGTGGGATGCTACATTGTACTAGTTCTAGGACAAGATTTGTTTAGTGATAGCAGTTCTATAGAAAGAAACTTAGCTAAGAAAGTAAAAGATGAATAAAAAAAACTCCGCTGAGCGTGAAAGGCAGCACAATGGAATACACTAAAATACTGGAAGCATGACAAAAAAAAAGAGGGGAAAATATGGGGAAATTAACATAATAACCACTAACTGGAGTGAATTTGGAGATAATTAATAACCAGAGGAAAAATGAATGTGATAGAAGTAATAAAATACATGAGACATTTAGACAGCACGTGTAGACAGGAAGTATGAAATTGATTTAAATATGGAGGAAACAATAGATAAAACTGACGGAAAGCCATGTGAATGAAAGAAACAAGGTTACACATAAGGATATTTAATTATATGTGCCAAATATAAAGCAAGAGATAAGTGTATATAAGAGTAAAAAGTTTAGAAAGTGGAACTAAGGAAGGAGAAAGAAAAAATAGACAATACAAAAATTGTGAAAATTTGGAAGAAGCTCAGGTTACACCGGATGCAAAAGCAAATACGTGAATATATAAGAAAATAAGATAGAAGTACTATGGACCAAGAGAAAACTGACAAAAGAAGAGTTTAGGATTAAAGCAGACAGCTTGATATCAAAGAGAATATAGCAAGAGTTTAGAGTGAAGATAGCGAGAGATTAGAGGGAAGATAGCGAGAGTTTAGAGTGAAGATAGCGAGAGTTTAGAGTAAAGATGGCGAGAGATTAGATTAAAGATAGTAAGAGTTTAGAGTGAAGATCGCGAGAGATTAGATTAAAGATAGCAAGAGTTTAGAGTGAAAATAGCGAGAGATTAGAGTGAAGATAGCGAGAGATTAGATTAAAGATAGCAAGAGTTTAGAGTGAAAATAGCGATAAATTAGAGTGAAGATAGCGAGAGATTAGAGTAAAAAGAGCGAGAGTTTAGAGTGAAGATAGCGAGAGATTAGAGTAAAGATAGTGAGAGGTTTGCAAGAATTTAGAGTGAAGTAGAGATAGCGAGAGATAGATTAAAGAGAACGAAAGATTAGATTAAAGATAGCGAGAGATTAGCGTGAATGTAAGGAGGAAATGAAACTTAAGAAAGGAAATTCCAGATAGACTGAAGAAGGAAAGAGAAAGAGAGATTACAGAAGGTCTGAAGTGAAGTGCAGAAACAACGAGAGAAAGTAGTGAACACAAGAACGAAGAAGTATAATTAAATATGGGAAATTAAAGACAGAGTTGAAAAGGAAAAAGAGAGAGAGATTATAGCGAATGAAAGAGGAAAGTAACAATTTATGAAGTGAATAGACTGAATGAAGAAGGAGAGAGAGAGCGAGAGAGAAAGATTGCAAGGCAGGACAAAACCACAGAGAGTGTTGTGAGCGAGATATGTAGCAGAAAATGATAATAACGAAGCGATGAACACGTTTGATGAAAGCGACGATTTCTTTGTGACGAGGAAATAAATGCTACGAGTTCGGTATTCGACCAATACAAAGATCCGAATGAAATGACTTATAACCACCTCTTCCGTTATCCAACGAAGGAATGTAGACACTATTCCATTATAAGCACGATTATCACTGCACTAAATCTTAGAAAGTAGGCTTAGCTGAATATCAAATGGTTTATTTAGTCGCATTCATAAATCACCACGCCTGCGAGTTATGTTAGAATGCGGGTTATGGTAGAGTAATCGAAAAGACATTTATGTACAGAATCTGCAAGTGGAACGTTACGATAAACTCGGCTATTGACATTATTCATTCAAAGAAACGATCGCTTTTCTATATACAGAAATAATTCACGCCTCCTGTCAGCTTTCCTTTTTTTAAGTTATTCTACACAAAATATTAATTTATTCTGAGGGACGTTGAAATGTCTGGTAAGTACACACACACACACACACACACATATATATATATATAGGTGATTCAGAATGCATGGCAAGGTAACAAATTAATGTTAGATCCCTTTCCTGTTGTATCTGTAACTCTGGTTTGTAAGGACTTAAATAGAAATAGACAGTAATTACAATGCACTTGCTATAATTCGCACCCTAATAGTTTTGGCCCGGCAATGGCCAGGTGGTGAGGGCGCTCGACTCGCAATCTGAGGGTCGTGGGTTCGAATCCCCGTCCCACCAAACATGCTCGCCCTTACAGCCGTGAGGCGTTATGAATTAACGGTCAATCCCACTATTCGTTAGTAAAAGAGTAGCCCAAGAGTTGGCGGTGGGTGGTGATGACTAGCTGCCTTCCCTCTAGTCTTACACTGCTAACTTAGGGACGGCTAGCGCAGATAGCCCTCGTGTAGCTTTGCGCGAAATTCAAAACAAACAAACCCTAATAGTTATTTAGTTATTTATAAAAACAGATGATATGATTAGCACCTAGACCACAACTATGTTTATCGTATCTCAGCCGGCCTGATGAGCTCTGGTATTGAGCTTAATGCCTCTTCGGCATTGGACATAGCAGCTGTGATGTGTTTGACATATTATAACATATTTTCCTTTGCTTTCACTCATGAGGTCTTAGAATATCTAATCCATGTGCTGTTCGTATCATGGAAACGGCTTCTTTTCCCT